ACATCCATAAAATGTACCATGTAAAAATCAGAACACGTCTTATTGGATTTATAACAGTATTCTAATCAGGGACTTTATGGACTTAATCATTAGTTTCAGGCCTTCTACCAAAGAATGATATCAATTATGATTCCATTTAGAGGAGCACTGGTTCACCGAGACTCCTTGTGGTTGGTAATTGAGATCTTAACATCTTAATGTATTACGTTTGACATTGTAATTCTAATAAGTTACTCCAGAATTTCCAGTCTAGCAGGTCATCTACCGTGGCCTAACATTTTGCAGCCGTATTTATACGAGTTCCGGGACCTGTACCTAGAACTATTGATGTGGCTCTAGTTATACATTTTTAAAGAGTCTGTTATAGATGTTTATAATTTACAATACACAAACAAGCACATTTACAAAGCATGTTGAAAACCTTCCTGAGGTGCTTCTTGATGGTGTTTTCTTCATTAGACAAATGACCAGCTGAAGCAGCGAGGATCACACCCCCCGAGGGACGATTTAAATATTTAAAGTATAAAACAGATGCAGAGGGTTGTCGTTGACGTTGACGTTTATTGTCTAGCTGAAAAAGTGGGAGAAAGCAGAGAGGAAAAGAAATCGTGTTCTTTCAGCTGAAGTGCGGTAGATCAGAGGAGTTATTACTACAACTCAGTGGTATTATATCATATCGCAACGTATCGTATCGTCTCTTGCCGCATAACATCACATCGTATTGTATCGTATCGTTTCCTATTGTATCATATCCAGTGGTCGGGAGTAATGAGTTACATTTAGTTGAGTACGTTTTTCAAAATAAAATACTTCAAGGAGTACTTTTAAATCACTATACGTATTACTTTTACCTGAGTAGAATTATAAAGACTACATTAGGCTGTACTGAGCTCGTTACTTTTACCAGAGATACTGGATAAAGCCATGAAAGAGCCTGAGCGGATTGCAGTACCTATCAGCACTGCCGTGACATTTATCTCAGTGAAACAGTCAGGGACCAGAAGAAGAGGATGGGATGATGGGATTGGATGATTGACAGAGATTTAATCACATCCTCTCTATAATTACCTTCACTCAGAATCACTTGGTTTGGTCTTTTCCGCTTCTGAGTCGATTTCTGCCCCTTAGTCCTGATAATCATCACTGCCAAACACGACGGGGCCGTGAAAGAACTTCATAAATTAGGATGAGGACTGTTAGTCACAGCACTGTTTATGAGCATCAAGAATGACTTAAGTTTGTATGTAATCCTTTTTAAAAATGAGTAAAGTTGACAGTAGGGACAACTGTTTAACAGCATGGATTCCATTTCCTATTTTTTTTAGCAGGTATTAGTTGAAGTTTCATATCTGCAGTCATGGGAAGAACATTGTTTTTTTCAGTAATGGGTAATCTTAGTAATATACTGTTTTGGTATGTCACCCATTGATCACAGTAATATAATAGGATTCTTAAAAAGTCTTAAAAAAAATAAAGTTTTCTCAAAACTAAAATAATAAATAAATAAATAAATAAAAATGCACTCCTCTGCATTTTAATGGTTAAAATTCAGAAAACAAAATACCTTTTTAGTACGTCATAAGTACTGTACTTAATAACAATCTGAAAAGGTCTTCAAAGATAAGATTTCTCAAAAATATTTATTAAAATATAATTAAAAAACACCCATTTTATCAAACAAGGATATTTTTATTTTTATTAAACAAGGAAGACCATAGTCTTACTATCACGAAAAAAATCCTAAAAAATAAAAAGTTGCGCTGATATTGGAACGTTTGTGTAACGGAAATAGAAATACGTTGTACGGTTCCTATTTCCGGTAGCTCGTTTGCTACATCTGATTGATTGAAATGGTGGGTTTTTTAAAACAATTGTCGGTTGTATTTTGTTTGAAATGGTAAACGTTCGGTCGAGTTCGGTTAATTGCACTAACGGTCTCGTAGTGCAATTTACGCATGTATCTCGGCAGCTAACTTTAGCTTTTGTCGGAAGTTAAAATGATACGTAGTTAGGTTTTCGTCCTAAACAATGAACATGGAGTTGTGGCGGTAATGGCCTTTGACAGGAGTTTAACTTGGGCTGACGCAGCTATTTTAAAACACGAAATTAACTTGCAAATATTATATTAAATGAGACTTTATGTTTTCCGTCACCGAAGAATGATAGTAGTTGGTTTGAGGTGAAGAATATGGAACGTCTACGTGAAGCTACAAATGGCGACACGACTCTGCTAGTCGAGTAGCATCAGCTAGCTTTGACATGCAATTGTCTTACAAACAAAAGGCTGTAAACATTGAGCTCTCTGAGTACCACCATGATGACCAATATTAAAATATAGCAGCATATCCCTTCCTTATGAGCTTCCACCACACAGGGGAGGTGTTTGTTTAAATGTTCTATTAATTGTACATGGTTGGTTTCAAATTTATTCAATTGAAAATGTAAATATGAAAATATGCACACCACAGTTTGAGAACCACTGCTTTATAGTGTGTGTGTGATATGAAAATCCTACTCCTATAAATAAAATTTATTATTATTATTATTAAAAGGGGACACGACTGAGGCCAGTAGACTTGAATTATTTTCATTCAGTTTAAAAGGAAAGTAGTGCAACATGGATTTCTTCCTGAGGTTATTGGTGGAGCCAGTAGTTTAGACCAAACCAATTTGTGAAGCCATGATTGCATTACGAGTAGTAAATGAATTAGTAAATTAGTAGGTAATTATTGTTTGCAATCTCAATTATATATTATATTTTTGTTAACCATTGTTTTTTGGAATTACATTTCGTATGATGTGTATGTATAGTAAAGTACACCACATTATACCTATGATATGTATATATAAGCAGAACTAGTATAATTATAAGGATGTTATGTGAACAAGTATATAAAATAAATATATATAAAATATATGCACAGTGTATATAGTTTGGTAGTGAAATAATGAAATTAAATAAAGAGTTAGCTACTGTATATGGGTGGTTCCAGCAGAGATATTAGTGTATGAGTGTTTGAATGTATTTTGGATAATTTCCTGTTAAGTGTTTTATATTTTGGTGTTTAATTTTTGCTCCATGTCCCTTCTTTCTTTCCTGGATGGAATATAGTGAATCACATGGATATAGTGAATCATGGATATAGTGAATCACAGACAGTATCTTTTGTAGAGCTTGTGATAATGAGGAATGTTTTTTTTTGTTTATATATGTCTGGAATAGAGAAGTCCTAAAGGAAGCTAAGGAGCACAGCAGGGACATCAACGACATCCAGACGTCTGTAGACCTCACCATGTTCATCAGTGCCTCAAAGGACAACACCGCCAAGGTGAGAACTCTTGTTGAAAAATGTTATAAATAAAGTCATCAGAATGACACCCTGCTGGCCATCAAGGAGAACGCCCAGAGAAGAGTTTTGTTTTTAACCTAAAAAATGAAACCTGAGTTTGTAGTTTTTGAAGGCGTATAAAGAAAAGAGTTGTTTATGAAGATTCGCAGTCATCCAGGTCAAGGTTGAAGAGTTCCGTTAGGCAACTGGACGTGACATTTTATCAAGAAGACACTTGGCCTCTCATTCAAGAGGCTTCTTCAGTTCTAACCAGTGGAGGGGAGTACAGCAAATATATACTGTGGGTGGGAAAAAGAATAAAGCTACTTCAGGTCCCTCCTGTCGGGTGGGCCGTCGGGATCATCTGGGGAAGTGTTAACAGTCGTTGTAATCCTTATCAGAGTGGTTTCAGTATGTGGTTGATAGGTTGTGTCTTAGCCCACCCTCTGTCGAGGGAAAATGTCATGTCCAGTTTCCTAACAGAAGTCTTCAACAAAAAAAAAAAGAGTTTTCCTTTTAACTCTTGGATTTGTTTATATATGTCTGGAATTGTGAGGTGACCCTTCAGTCATTTCTGCTTGAGACCCCCGCTCCAACGTAGAACAACATAAATAAGAAATGTATTTGAAGATATTTATTGAAAGTTTGTTATACAAGTATGTGTAAACTGAAGTAAACAATGACAATTTGCTGGCAGTCTATAAGAAGATACACCAAAAAAAAAAACTACAGGTTTTGCAGGTTCTTCCTTGCTCTGTAGGAGGAGGAGTTTGGCAGGAGTCAAAGGTCATGTTGGTCCCATCAACCGTGTGGCTTTCTACCCTGACAGCAAGAGGTAAAGGAGACCAACACAGCTTTTGGCAGGGAAGCAGAAGAGAGGTAACCTGTGGATGATTGACTACAGCCAGTAGTACCAAGTAGTAGTGTAATTGCATTTACTTTGTGCTAGATGGAGAGTTGTTTTTTAATTTAACCAAATAGTGTTTTTGTTGTTTCTTGCAGCTATTGTTGAATGTGGAATTCTTTAGAGTACTAAGTCGTGGTTAATTAAAGCATTGTGTAACATGCTAGTGCTAAACACTTTGAACATGGTGTCGTCATCTGAGAGCGTTTGTATGGAATGTCTTTATTTCATCTTGTGTTTCAAGTCAACCAAGTTGTTCCACTCCTGATGAGGTGACCTTTGTTGAATCCTGTGAGCACACGTGGTTGACAGAAGTTGACAGTGTTGTGAGTATGTGATCGATCCATCTTTACCTGAAGTGTCAAAGCTAAGAATGGCTGTTGTAATTTGACATTTTTTAAGTGTATCTATGTACTTTGATTGAATGCATGTTTTGTAAATGTGAAGTGTTTTGCTATTAAGAGTAAAAAGTTGTATTCTTTGTGTCTCCTCTGCTATTGTCGTTAACAGATGTGCAATGGAGGAGAAGACGGACACAGCAGCTTGGACTCTGCCAGGTAGAGTGAAGGAGCAACTTTATTTGAAGCAGATCACTTGTTGTTTGCTGGACTTGTGTTTTACTGTATTGTAATGACTTTGTGTAACATGATTGCTATTCTATTGTCATTAACAGATTTGACTTCATTTTAGTTCATTTATTTGTACTTCATATTTATTTAGTTAATTTTTAACTTGTGTAGTGGAATCATTGTTTTAGTTATTTTTTAACTTGTGTAGTGGAATCATTGTGTAACTTGATTGCTATGCAGTTGTCTAACATTTTTTTGTACTTAGTATATTTCTTGAGCTTTATTGTTGTTAGTTATGTAGTGCAATCATTGTGTAACTTGAGCTGTGTTGTAAACCTTACAATTAAACAGTGTTGGACCATTGTGTGCATTCATTTCAAGATACTAAGCAAATATGAATGAGTTTGACAATGCATGCCCTAAAAGGCAACGAGAAACTCCATTCGTATTTGCTCAATATCTTGAAATGAATGCACACAATGGTCCAACTGTTTATTGGAAGCTCGAGTTACACAATGATTGCACTACATACAATTTAAATAGAGCTAAAGAAATACTAAGTACAAAATAAAATTAACTAAAAACACCAAGTCAAAAAAAAACTGTTAGACAACTGCATAGCAATCAAGTTATACAATGATTGCACTACATAAGTTAAATTAACTAAATTACATACAAATAAATGAACTAAAAAAAAACTCTAAGTCAAAAATCTGTTAATGACAATAGCATAGCAATCAAGTTACACAATAAAGTCATTACAATTCAGTAAAACATTCAAGTACAGCAAACAACAAGTGATCTGCTTCAAATAAAGTTGCTCCTTCACTCTACCTGGCAGAGTCCAAGCTGCTGTGTCCGTCTTCTCCTCCATTGCACATTTATTAACAACAATATCAGGGGAGGCACAAAGAATAGAACTTTACTCAATAGCTAAACACTTTGCATTTAATCACAACAAGTCCATAGATACACTTAATGTCAAATTACAACAGCAATTTTTAGCTTTAGCACTTCAGGTAAAGATGGACCGATTACATACTAACACTACTGTCTAACACGTGTGCTCACAGGATTCAACAAAGGTCCATCATCAGGAGTGGAACAACTTCATTAAACGTCTTCTTTTGAACTCAAACAAGATGAAATAAAGACATTACATACAAACACTCTCAGATGACTACACCATGTTCAAAGTGTTTAGCACTAGCATGTTACACAGTGCTTCAATTAACCACTACTTAGTACTCTAAAGAATTCCACATTCAACAATGACTACATGAAACAATTCAATAACAAATACTTTATTTGGTTAAATTAAAAACAACTCTCCATCTAGCACAAAGACAAAGTAAATGCAATAACACTACTACTTGTTCTGGCTCTAGTCAATCATCCACAGGTTGCCTCTCTTCTGCTTCCTTTTTCCCCTTGGTTGGCAGCATTCCTGGACCTCCCTCTCACATGCTATTCTTCGGGGCTCAAACTAAACAAAAAACAAACATAATACTCTTTTAAAGGTCAACATTCAAACTTCCTGTGGCCTAAAAGTTGGGAAAAAAATAACCAAATCACACTCACAGTAAAACACTTACCGGTTTAAAGATGGCGTCGTGGGTAATTCACTGCGAAGTATTTGCTCTTTCCAGCCCGATGTCCTGTAAACATTACACAACACTGTTAATGCTGGCCAAAAGTTTCATTTGACCAAAACAAAAAAAATTAACATGTTTCTTTACCTGAAAAGCTCAGAAATGGCCATGGCGATGTCGTTCACGTAACAGAAACCAGATGCCTCAAACTTCTTGGCGTCGTGGAGCTGCTGCACCTGAAAAGTAGTACGTTTTTTTAGCTTATTTGTACTTAGTTCTTTTTTTACTTTTTTGTACTTAGTATATTTTTTAGCTCTTTTTTCTTTTTTAGCTTAAATATGTGGTGCACGCTATGCTGTATTTGAAACTTTCAATAAAAAAATTTTTTTGGACCTTTTGTAAATTCATTTCCAGATATTGAGCAAATACTGATGAATATGAATAGGATTTCCCATTGACAATTCATGCCCTATAGGGTGTGCATTGTCAAAGTATAGGGTTTTTTTTTAAGTTTTTTTAAATTTTTTTTAAGTTTTAAGCTTTAAGTTAAGTTATTTTTTTTAGTTAGTTAAATAAACGCAGTAAAAAGCAGTAAGTTAAAAAAAACCCAACCAGAACACTTGACAAAAAAAGTCAAATTACAACAGCAATTCTTAGCTTTAACTTCAGGTATAGATGGCAAGATCACATACTCACAACGCTACTTCTGTCAACCACGTGTGCTCACAGGATTCAACAAAGGTCCATCATCAGGAGTGGAACAACTTCATTAAACCTCTTCTTTTGACCTGAAACAAGATGAAATAAAGACATTACATACTAATGCTCTCAAATAAAGATAAATTAAGTAAATACAATAAAACTACTACTAGTTCTGGCTGTAGTGGTTCACAGGTTACCTCTTCTGCTTCCTTTTCCCCCCCTTGGTTGGCACCATTCCTGGACCTCCTCCTCACAGGCTGTTCTTTGGTCATGCGCTCAAACTATATAAAAAAAAATAAAAATAAAAAAACAACTTTTAAAGGTCATCATTCAAACTTCCTGTGGCCTAAGAGGAGTTGGGGGAGGATAAAAACCAAACCAAATCGCACTCACAGTAAAACACTTACCGGTTTAAAGACGGCTTCGTGGGTAATTCACGGTGTAGTATTTGCTCTTTCCAGCCCCGATGTCCTGTAAACATTTCACAACACTGTTAATTTCCGGTAACAAAAAAAATGTTTTGCTTACATGAGTAGATCAAAAATGACCATTTCTGGGACTTTTTATTTTTATGGATATTTTCAGGATGTAAGGCTATAGTAAGGCATGTTTTGGGTGATTTTTGAAATATTCATATAAAATACTTTTTGGACTTTAAAACACAAAATATTCACTTGGCAGCATGTTTTAGGACCTAATATTGCATTTTAAGGCATTTCGGGGACTTTTTATTTTTATGGATATTTTCAGGATGTAAGGCTATAGTAAGGCATGTTTTGGGTGATTTTTGAAATATTCATATAAAATACTTTTTGGACTTTAAAACACAAAATATTCACTTGGCAGCATGTTTTAGGACCTAATATTGCATTTTAAGGCATTTCGGGGACTTTTTATTTTTATGGATATTTTCAGGATGTAAGGCTATAGTAAGGCATGTTTTGGGTGATTTTTGAAATATTCATATAAAATACTTTTTGGACTTTAAAATGCACGTAATTTCATTTTTTCAATTGT